CTACGTACAGATGGGTCACTCATTTTGAAATATTAAACTTAGTTTTCTTTTCTAACATTTTTAATTTTTCATCCTCATGTAGAATGCTATTATGAAACACACATTTGGTTGTTTATAGCATAAAGAACATCTGATTTAATGTGAGGTAGGGAAATAATCATTTGAGTATAAGTATGTGTATATAAATATGTAAATTACAACAGCTGTAAGATGCTTGAAAATGCACCTTGGAAATGCTTGAAAAGTGCTTGAATTTGACTTTGGAAAAGGTGTAAGAACCCTGTAGGATTTTAGATATATGGTTACACTTTTGGTTCTGCCTATCGAGTTCAGTTTATATTGGTTCTTGATTTTGGTTCTTTGAGAGGTTAAAAATAAGTTGCATTCCTATTTCACGGCAAATGTGTTGGTCTTATATAGTGTGTGTGCTCTCTATAAAGGCCGATCAGATGACGTGAAATACATGACACTTTTCTCTGTGCGCGGCAAAACAAGCTCGCCAAAATGGCTTCACTAGTCTGGCAGTTCTTTAAGGTGTCCGAAAATGACAATAAAATAGCGGTATGCAACGTGTGTGTGAAGCAGAAATCCTGCAGCTCCACCCGCTGTGACGGACCGGTGAGCGGAGCAAAACACACTAAGAGTTAGACCTAACACACTTAGCTATTTTATCTACCTCTGGAACAAGCTAAACTAGTTATAAATATGTTTATTCTTCACTGTCGGGTCGCTCATTACTGGATCAGTGAGCTGCATGAGATACTGACAGGCTGTCGAGGGAGAGAGGAAAAGAGAGCGCTTCCGCTCATTTCTCCCGTGTTATTATCCAAAGTTAATGTCAACTTGAATAATGTACTTCATTTGAATGTAATAATTATGTTGTTTGTTGTTTATGGAAGTGCATCATTTATTGAAAAATTAATCTGAACTTTTTGATCCGTATATATAAACTGAAGCAATATAAAAATGATCCCCATTAACTGAGTTTTAAACATCAGCATATATTACCGGTCATAGTCCGATAATTACCAGCTAACGGAAACTCTGCTACACAATTCACAATACCACACTTTAAATGGAAGATCCCCATAGCCCCCACCCACCCTGTGATCGGATCGGTAACGACCGATTCTGATTCCGGTGATCAGTCCCAAAAACCCTGATCGGAGCATCCCTAACAAGTTCTATGTGTCACAGTGTCCAACCATATACAGTCTGTGTCCAACACATATCCTGCAGTAAATATCTGCCAGCTGCCGGATTGCTTTATTGTTTGCAAAAGTAAATTAATCATAATTTCATTTAAAAAAACATTAAAACATTCTAAACCCTGATTCATAAACTGACTGCATTTACTGCCCACTGAGTGCACTCAAGGTGTCGCTGTTGCCTCATGAAGGCATCGGTGGGACAAGGCACAGCTAGAAGCATATAATAAACCATGTTTTTGTTTGTGTGTGCAGGCTGCAGAGGAGAAGCCCGCCTGGAGCGTCCTCACAGACGACTTCATGATGGGAGCCACCATGAAAGACTGGGACAAAGACAGTGAGGGAGAGGAGGCCGATACAAACCAAGGAGCAGGGGGGGAGGACAGTGACTCAGACTGAAAGGACTGCAGGCTGTGATGCCTTCAGGGACATGTGTGTGGATCAGAGACCCTGACCCCTCCTGTCAGTGTGTGTGTGGACTGCACAGAGAGAAAACCTGGAATGTGTTTATACTGACTGTATAAACACGCAAATATTTGTATGGCCTCTCACACTATGATGTTTGTTGCTCAATATGTTGTGCAGAGAGGGGAATGATGAGTGACAGTACAACACTCTGAGGGACAATAACTGATACATGGGAACAGGATGTGACAGGGAACTGAGAGAAGCTCCTTGCCATGTGGAGCTCCTGCCCTCCATCATACTCGGCATCAGTTTGCTTCCATTTACATCATCATCTACATAATCATTTTTTATGAATTACCTGTGTTCTGTAAACTCTGTAAATATGAGTGTTTTGTAGAGTGCTGGTTAAATAAACAGCGAGTTCATGTGTCTATCAGTGCACTGTGGTCTTCTGTAGACTGGACATGTGTCTGGTCATAGTAACAGTATTTTTATAAAGATTATTTTTGGGGCTTTTTTTGCCTTTTTCAGTCATTTTTACAAGATGACACAAACAAACAGTTACAGATTTAAATACAGAAAAAGGGCAGTGTGTCCCCGCATTTTTACTGTTCGACTTCAATCTCTGAATTCTGACTTAAAGAGGACGTATTGTTCTCATTTTAAGGTTCATATTTGTATGTTGTGTCTCTACTGTGACATGTCTCCATGCTTTAATGTTCAAAAAGCTCTTTATTTTCTCACACTGCCTGTGCTGCAGCACCTCTTTTCACCCACTGGCCATTTCTCAATGTCGAGTATACCTGCTGCAGAGCCACTATTTCAAGTATACTACGTCATCGAGTGGCGCCGAAGGACTGTTTAAATGCATGTTAAATGCCCAGCATTCGCTGCCACTCGATGACGTAGTATACTTGAAATAGTGGCTCTGCTGCAGGTATACTCGACATTGAGAAACGGCCTCTGTCTGAAACCAGAGCCCAGTCTGCTCTGATTGGTCAGCTGGGCGGCTCTGTTGTGATTGGTGAACGGCTTAGCGATGTGTTGGAAAGGTCCCCCCCCCCCCCTTTCATTTCACATACAATGTGTTGGAGCGCTAGCCAATAGAAGCGATAGAGTTACTTAGTGATGTCACTATGTTACGGAAGTAAACCAGGGAGTCCAATGGAGGCATTTCGGGTCCTTAAAAAGACAATGCAAATGAATATTTCCTTAAATATTCCAGTTTATTCACCTGCCAAGTTTGACAAAATATTTGGGTTAATCAGGCCCTGGTTCAAGTTTATCAACTGCCCTTGTGAGCTCAATTTTAAACGTGCTTTTGTCAAACAAATCCAAGACTTGTTTCGGTCAGAATTGTCTGTGTGGTAAAGATCATCCAAGTTTCAGGTGCAAACCTTAGAATTGTTGTATTGTTTAAAACTCATGTACGGTGATAAGACAGTGAAAGAGATCATCCAGCTCATGAGCAGAGCTTTGTTTTATGTTTAATTCCCTCCCATATATTTTCCTCATGTTTGCTGCTACAGTTTTCTTATGTGCAACAGGTGTAGTGGGGACAGTTCATCTGAGACACACACACACACCTGGCAGTGACAGCGTGTGACTGCAGCAGCCTGGTGATGCAGAGGCAGGGTGGGGGTCAGGCTGATGGATGTGTTGCTCTGGTGGAGCGGAGCATGGAGGGCCGGCACCAGGTTTTGGCAAATAATGAAACAATTTCTGAGGGATGTGGACATAAATCAAGCTGGCACAGGGCAGGCCCAGAGTGTGTGGGAGCGGCCGGAGCAGGAGGGTGGAGGTGGTGCTGTCTAACATCTGACATCAGGGGACAGGAGGAGACCCCGGGCCACAGAGCCACAGACTGTTTGTCATAATGTCATAACTTAAACCGATATTCAATATGCACTCATGGTTTTCTTCTTACATTGTGGGCAGTCATTAAGAGCATGAGTTGTGGCTCCTTTCAGCTGAACGTCTGGGAACTGAAGAGATGATCAGAGCCCCAGGGAGAGCAAAACATGCTTATTACATGCTCAAAAACTCATATTTCTTAAATCTGTATTCAAATGTAGTTCCCTCTGTCAGCAATGTATCAACTACACACACATTTCTATCAGTATTTCTCTGTGTTGTGGTTGAAATGATGATGACTGTTAGGAGTTAAGGGGAGAGGCTGAGCATCACCATGAAATGTGCAAATTGACATACAAATTAATAAAAGGGGGAAAAAATACTCCATGTTTTTTAGGTTGTAAACTTTAACTGTTATGTAAGCCAACTAGACAGACAGTGTATCACTCTTCCTCCTGTACATTATCAGATAAAAGGCATAACATACTTGAATGAATGGTAAATAAAGAATGCTGGAAATAACTGCATCTCCATTAGCCTATATGCTATGCAGAGACTGCCTTCTTCATGTCGTGAATTGCAGCTGATGTTTTAATATGGCAATTGGCAAAAGTTTGACATTTGACTTATACAACATTCGCAAGTTGACTCATACAATAACCCACCACGATTCGGTGCACGGAGCACTGCGCATAAGCCGAGGCCCCCTGCGCAATGTGAGGCCCCATGCAGCCTGCATGATCGGCCTGTAGGGAGGGACGGCCCTGAAAGGCACATCTTTATATGATCATTATAGTTATACAAAAATAAGAGAATAAAGTAAACTACTATATGACAGTAAAAAAAAGTTGTTATTAATAAACAAGAATACACTTTAAAAGGGGAGTGATTTGTAAAATATCCATAAAGAAAAAGAACATCTGCTTACAGTTCTGTTTCATATGGGTGTTGAGAGATGTATCCATAGATATCTTAATGTTGCTCTCAAAGTGCACCAGATTGATGCTTTTAACTTCAACATTTAAACATAAATCTTCCCGGGGAGCATGCCCCCCGGACCCCCCTAGAGGAGGTTAGGTCCCCCCCCCCCCCCCCCCCACACTTAATTCATGTTCACATGGATAGGATACTAAATACATTTGCACACATCTTGTGTCCATATCTTTCTGTTTTGCGGGTCATGCCACAACCGTGCACGTGCATGCATACACGAGTCATGGTAAGATATCTGGATTAAGAGGTTGCTTTTTCTTTGCACAGCATGAAAGAAAGGCGAAATGAATGGGCTGTGATTTTAGTTTTTTTAAGCAGAGGTCAATAATTTGTACGGCCCTCGGAGGATGTGGAAAAATTGAAATGGCCCTTGAGAGGAAAAAGGTTCCCCACCCCTGTTTTAAAGAGTAGTACAACGGAGAAATGTTTCTGATGTTCTTAGTAAACAGTTTAGATGCCTTGCGCTGACGGGCTCTAAGACCCTGCGTCACCCCGCGAGGGTGGGGGGGGGGGGGGGGGCAGTGGTCCGTTAGCCGCTGCAGCGCTGTCCCAATGGGCACAGCGAGCGCTCCTATTTACAATAAAAGCTCTGTAACGTGGATTGAAGGGGTTCCCTGCTCCCACACTGATGACCACAGCCTCGGAGTGAAGGGCGCGGAGGAGAAGCACGTGCGAACTTCAGTCCTTTATAACTCTCCAACTCTGCTGTCCGCTTGGCACGCGCAAAGACGAGCCGTTCCCAGACTAGATGGGTTGAACGCTATGCAGTCGCCCCGAAGGCAAACTCCGAGCTGGAAGACTTTTTCACACTGAAATCTCACTTCTTTATGGATTATTGATTTAAATACTTGGATTAAAGTTCACAACTAGGACATCAGGACTGCGTCTGGGTTCGGGTATTTTTTTTTAAGACCACTATAGAATATGCCAAGAGGATAAAAAGCATCGTGTCGCACATCCACTCTCTGACGGATAGGAACCTGGCTGAGGTGCGGGTGGAGCGCGCGGATGCGGTGGAGGTGTGCGCAGACCCGCAGGCTGTGCGTCCCGCTGACCAGACCCTCAGCTGTCTCTAACTCTCCTCTTCTCCTCCATATGTCTCAGATGCTTCGGGTGGCCGCACGTCCCCCCACGGCACCATCCAGCTGCACCTTTACGCACTCCGGCTGTGAGATCACCGCCATCCAGGAATAGATCCTCGCGATCCTTTCTGACCGAATATCAGCTCTGTTTGTCTGCGGGGACAGTTGAATGGATTTTCAAGTACACTTTACAGAAACTGTGGAATTAGAAAAATACAATTTTTGGAGACATAAAGGCGCTTTACTTAGACTTTCGAACGAGAAATGTGTCTGCCTGGAGATATTTAAATCGCTTTGGTGAACTTTTTTCTGTTTTATTATTTGAGATTTGAAGAGGAGAAAATGAACCTGTGTGTGGTCAGTCTTCTCCTCACTCTGGATCTAGCCGCCGTGGCGCTCAGCCTGTCCACGTGCAGCACGCTGGACATGGATCAGTTCAAGAAGAAGCGCATCGAGGCCATCCGAGGGCAGATCCTGAGCAAGCTGAAGCTCAGCAGTCCGCCGGAGGACTTCCCCGAGCCCGAGGAGGTGTCCCGGGACATCGTCGCCATTTACAACAGCACGCGCGACCTTCTGCAGGAGAAGGCAAACGAGCGCGCGGCGACGTGCGAGCGCCAGCGCAGCGAGGAGGAGTACTACGCCAAGGAGGTGCACAAGATCGACATGCAGCCAGTATACCCGTCAGAGAGTAAGTACGTGTGTGTGTTTGTCCAAGTGTGCATGACCTTAATTAATGACACACACCCACTGATGGTAGTGAAGTGTGAAGTTTAAAGGACTCAGGTCCCCAATAGGCTCAGCGTTTGGACGTGGTCACGTGTGTTTGTCATTGTTTTGGAAGACTCGTCCCATCGTGCTTGGCTGGAGGAGTGCAGGGGAAACAGCCAGATGTAATGGGGGTGGGGGGAGCGGTTATTTGGACATCAACAACATCTTCGCCTCTAACTCCGAGAACTGCAGGCCAGAACAACATCACATAAACCTGGTTTTGTGTTTTACCAGTTAAGCATAACATCTGTAGACTTTACAGTTGGCAGTGTTGACACAATGTCCATGGCTGGATGATCTGTTGTGCAGGGGCAACATTGTTTTTGTTAACCTTTTAGTCTTCATCTTCATTTGTCCTCCTCTGGCATATAGTTTAAAGCAGGGGTGTCAAACTCAAATACACAGTGGGCCAAAATTAAAAAATGGGTACTAGTCGAGGGCCGGACTGGTTCAATGTTTATTGCAAAACGTATTGAAATTAAATTATTGCACATATTAAACCTGGAACTAACAAAGCTTAAATTATTGCCTATAAAAACAACATTAAACATTAAATAATCAGTTGCATTAATTTCTTATGGCTCTATCTGCAGCTTTTCCCGAGTCATTTCTTATGATTACATTTTTCCACAGGCCAACAACTCTTCAAAAAAATAATTTCCCTCAAAGAAAAAACCAAACATGCCCTGTTGTCGCAAGAAAAAAAGTGCAGAAGGAAACATCCATGTAAACTCAGTGTGCTGCTCTGTGATGCTAGTTCAAGCCAGATACTTGGCATCTCATCTTGGGTGCAAGTTCATCAATGTTTGGGGTCAGGCTCTGAGCTGAGGAGACCCTCAGGATTGAGTGAAGGTGTGCGTGCAATATACCGGCGGGCCAGATCTAATAGTAATTAGAAATTATCCTGCAGGCCGAAATTAAATCCACCACGGGCCTGATTTGGCCCCCGGGCCTTGAGTTTGACACATGTGGTTTAAAGGCTCTCCGTTATCCGAATGACGCAGACTTAATGTCACCAAATGTCTGCAGTGAAAACCAACTGCAGTATTTCTTTTTTAACTAAATCATCTACCTAGTACAAACACTTGTATAAGCCTTATTTTAATCATTAGGTCCTAAAGATTGTTTATTGCGCTAAATGCTTAATAAAGAGTTATATTCCCTTTCCATTTATTAGACTGAGCCAAGACCAACTGCAACACTGTGGATTGGAGAAGGGGCTTAGCGAAAAGCAAGTGTTAATGCTCTATGGGCGCAGTTACGGGTACATTTGCTCTTGAGGGGCAGGCCATTTTTGGCTTCATACGCCAATTAGCAACTTTCATAGGAATGAACTGTGTCCCGTCTCCGACACTGTATCCAGTTCTCTTTACATCCATAGTAGCCTATATTCAGCAACAAGGGAGGACAATGAAGAGCTGGCCTGAGGACCTGTCAATCACAATAAAGGTACAGGGTCTGTGCAGATGGCAGTAATGCAATACCTATAGATTCCAACAGCCCTTATACTCAACAGAAGAGATGGGGCGAGGCAGGATGCGCTTTTACACTTAGCCGCTGCTGCATGTCACAAGGGTCTGCATATTACCAAGTTCCATTTGTTCATGACAAAATAGGCATTTTTCATGAGAAATAGGCAAGTTACAGTGTATTTTGTAGAGATGTCTTAGAGCCGATATAGACTAAACCTATATTGTGTTATCTATGTGGCTCAAGATGCCTTTTATTCATTTTAAATAACATGGCAGACGAGAAGCTACTTCTTTCTGCTTCCAATGTTCTTAATGTAAATTATTCTCAACAAGTTTGCAAGGTGAGCCTGGTTTGTTGTGTGTAGGACCCACTTCTGCTTGTTCAGTGTCAAACTTTGATTTAGTTAAGTTACCTTTAACTGTGTGCATGTTGAAATTCATCAACTTGTTTACATTTAGCTTTCCTGGAATGCATTTTCAGCACATGCAACATGCTGTTGACCTTTGATGTTACTAGGCTTTGTCTGTAAATTGTATGATTTCTTTATGGATCACCCTTTTTAGTATAAACATCAGTGTCAGCATTACAAGTTCACTATTCCACTGCCACTCTGTTTGGCACAATGATGTCCAGCCTAAAATGTGTTCTAACAAATGTGTGTGTGTGTGTACGGGGTGTGTTGTTTTATTTATGAATTTAAAACAACTTGTAGTTTGCAGCGGAAGCCATGGTTGAGTAATAACTCTTCATGCAGAAAGCTACTGCACTGACTCCACCAGCTACAGTGGTGCCGCTCTGTGGCTGACCCTGACCTTTGACCTCCTGTTTCGAGAAGATGAATTTCTCCTCAGATCAAAGACACATCAGAGAGAAAGGCTTGGCTGTGGACACATAATAATCATATTAAATGAAACTGCAGAGCCATTGACCCGAGTATTGTTTCCCCATTCACATCAGAAATACGAGCGCATGAAGTGAAGCAAAAATAAATTAGCTTGACATTTTGTATGCCCTGAGGTGTATTTTGCATCAGATGTTATCCTTGGCCCTGCCTCTTGTGTAAATACCTTAAATATGAATAGATCTGGCCCGGTGCCAAGGGCAGTCAGGAAAGCATTTGCAGGGTATAAATATTACAGAATCAACACGCAGGGAGGAAGGAGGCCAGAACTGATTTCCATTCATGTGAGGCGGTGACACTGACCAGGTCCTCACATCTGGAGACAGATGCTGAACCCTCAGCTGATAGGCTCCATTTATTTAGTCTCTTTAACTTGACTTGTGAGCGTGAGTTGTGTGAAACTGAATATCACACACACAGTATCTTACTTGGTTGGGTGCCAGGAAATCCTCAGAGGCAGCAGTGTGGGGCACACTGGCCCTGAAAGCCTTTCAGAAATGCCGGGTAGTGGAATGAGGAGGGGTGGGGGGGGGGGTTGCATATGGAAGGGGCTGGAGGCACTGTCCCACGTCTCACAGTCGTTTATTTAACCCTAGTTTGCTGTGAGCCATCGTGTGTATACCCTGCCTACCACTCAGTGATGGGAAATTCCTGCAGGAGAAACACTGAGTCGGTAGCTCTTAACTTTTAACGTCTGTTTGGAACTTATCTCAGCAAACAGGAGTATGGAGTCGGAAATACATAACCACACAGGACGATCTAATGAAACTACAGGTTGCATCATTCTTTAGCCACACTCATTTTGATAATTTTGCCCTTACTTTGTTGAGCTCACACACTATATCGAAGTGCAGAACTAAATCTTTGAGGCACCTCCTTGATCATTTGGTTTTTCCTGAACAAACTCACAGTGCTGCACATCGTTTTGCAACATATTGAAAGGTACCTGATGACTCTGTCAGTGTTCTTTTGTAATTTATGACTACCTCGCCGCACATTATAGCGCTTATGACACGGCTACATATTAAATAAACTAATGACACGACACACAAAACTGATTTAAAATGATTTTATTGATTTAAAAATGATCGTATTGTTTCCCATAAGAAAAATAGTCCGTTACTTAAAATGACAGCAACACTTATCAAGGTTTTCTGTAACTGTCCAAGCTGCTATACCTATATATTAAACAATTCAACTTTGTTTTTCAATGCTTAGCCAATGAAATGACAGCTGTCCATGACATTATCTGAAAGCAACTATATAAATAAAAGAGGTGAATAAGTGTATTACACCCATACCCTTCTGGAATGTCAGGTTTTTTCATATCTTGTTCTTTAAGGCAGAATAATATTAGGGTATTCCTAACTGAAATGCAGGGCGTGTTATGTTGTTATTTTTATTTCCCTGAGCTTTCCTGTTGGTGACATGCATCTCTACAACCTGTTGCCTCTGCATTATGCTCTGCATCTATTCTTGAGGGAGGAAGAGTCATAGAGAGAAAGAGTAAACCATTCAATGATCATGTGTAGAATACAACATGTGTAGTAAACATTGTTCACTTACAGTTTGTTAAATACTTACCTTCCAGATACCATTGGTTGCATATTAACAGATAGAAAGAGTGGTGCAGGAATGAGTCCTAAAACTCGGAAATGACATTTTACCACTTCTGGTTCCCTTGTCTCAAAGTCAGTGTCTTTTTGGTGTTTTTCACTTTTTGTTCTCCGACATGAAATACATCAGAAATATCCCCGCTCGTGTATGTCCAAAGCTTTTGCATTGCATTTGCGTTTTGAAAATGACAAAGTGCTGTTAATATGTGGAGATTATCCTGCTGAACAATTGGTTAACCATCATAAACGTGTGTTGGCCACAAAGCTAGTTTTCTGCAATATACCAAAATCCTTTTGTCGAGGGAGCCCTTGCGATGCTAACTTTCGCGTCAGCCTACAAAATACGTAATCACTGCACCACTCTTTTCCTAGGAAAATAGCTTTATTATCCCTTCGTTTACTTTTAAACTGCCAACTGAGTGACAAGTTTAGCTTTCAGTGTTTTTACTACTTTTACAGCATAAAGTCGACTTTATCGCACCGACTGAGAGATTGATGCTGCTCATGACCCCTGCAGAAGATGTGAAAATAGAGTTGACAAAAAGAGATGTGTTGTTCCTGTGGTATGCATATATCAGGAGTGTAATAGAGTGAAACATCCTGATAAAGCAACTCTGTCCTTGAAGGCAGGAAGGCTGTTACGAGTGGCTGAACACAGTCTGAATGTTCCCCTGAGTCACTGATAAATCCTGCTTCTTCTCGGCTAGTGTCTGTCTTTAGTGATATTTGGCATTTGATTTAAATTGCTTTTTGATTTGAGGACATACGAGCATGGCATCAGAGAGTGATACAGATTTCGCACTCTTTCCTGTATATAATTCTGTATGAAAACAATATGCTGAGTGAACATTTCAAATATAATTCAAAGAAAGTGTGTTAACATGGCAAGCCAGAGCATTATTGCTTATTTACTAGGCAAAAGTGGACCAC